GTATTGCTTGTACTAACAACAATAAAGATCGAATTGATGATTATTATGAATATATGATGAAAAAGAATCAAGCCAGCAGACCAGATACTCTTTATGAAGTTAGGCGATATCTTGATAAGCCAGTTGCTAGTAGAAATACTATGTTCTCGAATGGTGGAAAAATAATGATCAGTTTCCATCTTTAACTAAAATGGCGCGTGATTTTCTTGCTATGCCAGCTACAAGTGTAGCATCTGAGCAAATGTTTAGTTGTGCTGGGCGTATAGTCGATGATTATTGTACTTCTTTAGATCCAGAAACAGTAACTGCACTAATGTGTTAACGAAACTGGTTAGAGATGGCAGCAAGATTTGGGTGGGATTTGTAAGTTGTTAAAAATAGAAATTTGTAATCTTAGCAACTTGTGTATATAATATAATAAAATTGAAACGATTTGCTGGTATATGATTTTTTTTAGTTTTATAACATAATTTTATAATTTTGTAAACCGCATATGATCGAAATTGATTATAATATACGATATCGATATATATCGATATTAATTTGGTAGTGATACGTGATGTGTGATCGAAATTGACGATATCGATATATATCGATATCAATTTAATTAATTTGGTAGTGATACGTGATATTGAATTTAATCTACTGTATATCGATATATCAGTAAATGCACACATATTACTATCTAAGCCCAAGGGTACCCTCGGGTACCCGTAGGGCACTATAGGCCAGGTAGGGTAGCATATTTTGAACCCTAGGGCAAGGGTAAGGACTCAGAAGGCGAGCCCTTACATAAATAGATAGGGCTAGGGTATTAGTGCTACCCTAGCTCTACCTGGCCAATGCAGAGGCCTAATTAGAATATGCATATTATAGTTGAGAACACTTTTATTGCTTTACTGATCACAAAAAATTTTTAATAGTAAATAGTAAAAAATTTATACTATACACAAATTCATAATAATATTCTCATAAGACTCTGAGAAAACCAGTTTTAGACACTGATCATGCCTAGCACTAATGCTTGTGAAGTTGCCTGTGTCTATGGGCACAATAGTTTTAGAAATTTTGTAGGAGTATATATCTTTTTGGTATAGTACAGTGTTGGGTATTGGGTAAGATACGGTACAAAAAAGTGGCTGTATCTAGATAAATTTTTTTAAGCAGAGTATACAAAAAAATAATAATTATATACCAAGTTTTTTTTTTGATATTAGGTATGTAAAAAAATAAACATTTAATAAAAAGCTTATTGTACCCAAATCTAATATTAACAATTTGGGTATAGTATAAAAAAAAAATAAGTAATTTAAAAAAAATATACTATACCAAGATTATGTATATACTTTTAGATATAGTACAAAAAAAGGTTTGTAATAGATTATTATAATTATAATTGGAGTTAATTAAGTTAATTCTATGTTAATCTCACTTGAGCTTCTAATAAAAGTTGTAAAAAATGTTATTATGATTCTAATAGTAGTAAAAAAAATATTAATATATATTTTAACTTCTAACTGTACTATACTGTACCCAAAAGAATAATTTTTTTATAAGATATACAAATTATAAATCTAGTATATCTTTAAAATATAATATTAACTATACTGTACCTAGATAATAAATATTTTTATTAGGTACAGTTTTCAAATTAATATATACTATAGTTTGTATCTATTAGGTATACAAAAATTACTAGATATATATAGGTACTTTAGAAATATACTGTACCATACCCAATACCCAATACTGTATCATACCAAAAAGGTATATACTCTTTTGTAGACATACATGTTATAGTTATTGTCTACAAAGTGGGCAATAACTGATTTATTCTCCCAGTTCTTGGTACTATTATTTAAAATTAAAGTTGTGTATTTCATAAAGTTTAGCTTTACTATCATCACAAGACTTTTTTTATTTTTTCTACTTTCTTTTTTCTGTGGCAAACAACTTTTACTTTTCATTAGCAATTTCAATAATTTAAAAAATTTGGTACATCAATAAAAAAAGTAAAAAAAGATAAATAATCAAAAAGAAATATAAATTCCAGATCAGCCCGAATCTGGAATCTGGACAATAACCATGAAAAAATAGTACAGAAGTATAAATAAGAACTGGGGAATAAGTAATGTTTTAGGCACCTTTGGAGCAGGCACTTTGTGCTCTAGTGCCTAATAGTTTAGGATCGATTTTTCTTATTTATAATACAAAATGTCTAGCATGTACCAAAGACATTATGCCTGTGCCTCAAAAGTGACCACTAACTTTATGCCCGATGTTTTTGCATCTGTGTCTATGACATGCCTGTGCCGTTTGTTAGGCATGGGGATTGCAGATCCCTAATAAGCAGTATTGAATTTAAAAGCTCTAATTAAAATCACATGATTACAGAAACATGTGTTTAACCGGTTTAGGTTTTAAATGCAAAAGTATCAATTTTGATAGATCTACGGTAGCTTTTTTGATAGATCTACAACATATACTAAATCTATGTTACATTATTGATGCATTTTAGTATATATGTAAAATCTATTTTTTCAAGACTTTGAGCAAAAATAC